GCTTATGTAGACATATTCTAGTCTTTCACAGGGCAGAGAAACTAAGCTGACCCTGCTTTTCCACCTGTAAAACTAATTTCCTTCACCTGAAGTCAGGGTTTACAGCTAGCTCCTTGCAGTGCTTTGCATTCATGCAGCTTGGGAAAGCTTCCAAATCTCCCAGCTACTGCAAGTGGAAAGGGGAATGGGATTTATGCTGGAAGGAAACTGAGATTGTCTGGAATAAAGATTAGTCCATGTGTAAGTATTCAGGCCTTCCCCATGGAGTTTTTCGTTGGTGTGTTTGTACTTGTGGAGGAGGTCTGGAGTCTTTAAGGCTTTAATGATCACTGAGTGTTAGGGGCTGGCTGTCAGACAGTCAGTGTTTGCCTTGGCCCCTGTACCTCCGACAGTGAGGGAAGGCAGCTGTGGGGTGGTGATGGCTGGAAACATCAGGTTTATCTTTATACAAGAGATGGCAGAGGTTTAATTATGGGCTTGTTCCACCCTACTCCCCTCACATTTTTCCTGCAGTTACAAGCCTTGTCCTAATTCACTGTCCAGAGGGACCTGGACAAGCTCAAGAAGTGGGCCCATGTGAACCTCATGATATTCACCAAGACCAAGTTCAAGGTCCTGCACCTGGGTTGGGGTAACCCCCAGTATCAATACAGGCTGGGGGTTGCAGGGATTGAGAGTACCCCTGATGAGAAGGATTTGGGATTACTGGTGAATGAAGGAGTGAACATGAGCTGGCTTCAGTGTGTGCTTGCAGCCCAGAAAGCCAACGGTATCTTGGGCTGTATCCAAAGGAGCATAGCCAGCAGGTCATGGGAGGTGATTCTGCTCCTCTACTCTGCTCTTGTGAGAACTGAACTGAGTATTCCATCTAATTCTGGAGTCCTAAGTGAAGAAAAGACAGACTTGTTGGGGAGGGTCCAGAGAAGGGCCACAAAAATTATCGAAGGGCTGAAGCACCTCTCCTGTGAGGAAAGGCTGGGAGAGTTGGGGTTGTCCAGCCTGGAGAAGAGCAAGCTCCAGGGAGACCTTACCTTTCAGTTCTTAAAAGAGGCCTATAAGAAAGATGAGGAGGGACCTTTTAGCAGGGCCTGTTGCGATAGGACGAGGGGTGATGGTTTTAAACTAAAGGAGGGGAGATTCAGGCTGGATGTGAGGAAAAAATTGTTACCATGGGTTGTCCAGAGAGGTGATGGATGCACCATCCCTGGAGACTTTCAAGGCCAGGCTGGATGTGGTTCTGGACAACCTGGTCTGCTCATTGCAGAGGGGTTGGACTAGATCACCTTTTAAGGTCCCTTCCAACCCAAACCATTCTTTAATTCTATGATCCTACTCCTACAAATTCCTACTTTCTTCAGAGTGTTGATGGGTGCCAGTTATGCCCCACATCGTGGCAACTCTCATTCCGCCATGCTGCCAGCAAACCTTCTGAGTGCTCTCACTTGCAGCCACCTTCCCTTGTGGGTCCCCACATCTCTTTTGTGTCCATCCTCCACCCATCACAAGATACCATAAGGGTATGAAATAGTCTCATCAGACCTCTCTAAAGGGTTCCTTCTCTTTTTTTAACCTTTAATACTTTAAGGAGCTTCCTTATCTCATGAAATACTAAGATCATGTTCCTTGGTTTGGGTTTGGTTTTTTTTTCTTTTCTGCTTTATCTACCAGGACAGTGCCGCCCCTTGTGATTTCTACTCCTCAGGATCTTCCCAGCAGTCACCACCATTGCTTTGCTTTGCCCAGGCGTTCTAGATTATCCTTGCCAAGGGTCATAGCTTCAGCAGCAACCGAAGCCAAGCTGCATCAGCCCTGCTGGGAACCCCTTGATGTCATCACTGTTGTCTGTTTGTTGCTGCCTATAGAGCTCATAATAATCCCCACAGGGATATTCTCAGGACTTCTGTGGCGACACCTCCTAGGTGTGAGGTTTTGCTGAGGACAACATGTCCCTGCTCGTATGAAGTTACAGTTCGGAAGAGTGAATTTTGCTTGTTTCTGCTGTTTCATTCAATGCACTCTGTTCCTCCAGCATGGCCCTCCCAGTATTGAGCTGCTGGGAAATTTCATTACCATGCACTACCTATTTTTGCTTTGAAGTCAATACTTTAACAATATTTGTCTTAATGATCCAGTCTTGTTTCACATGACATGAAGTGCATTTCACATTTGTATCCAGCCTACCCACTGGATGATGGACTAAGTTGAATAAATGAGACAAGTTATGGCACCTTGTAAGATAAGTCTCTGCCCCTTTCTCACTTCTGCACTGTCTACAGAGCCTCTCCAAGTATGTCAGTGGTGTTTGATCAGAGCATGTTCAGTTAATTCATATGTTGCACTCTTGAGGTTTGACAACCATTTTTAGGGTATGAGGTGGTGTTTCAGTGGAAGCTAGTCTGTGTTTCTGGTGGATCTCTCTTGGGAAGGAAGCCAGATTGTTCTCACAGAATCTAGAGAGGTGACCTCTGTTGTGACTGCAGAATGGTCAGCCTTTTCTGCGGGGTGGCCCAACAGGTTTCCAAAGTCTCTGTCTCTGTGGAGAGAGCATCTGTGCAAGCTCAAAGAATGCTCTCCAGCAGCTATTGAAACAGTCTGCAGGCTGCAACAATACTCCTCAGGGCAATACTCACTGAGCCTCTACATGAATGAGTTCTCTGTATTCCTGTTGTAAAACAAAAGCTTTGTGGAAGGTATTTTAGCAAGCTCTGAACACAAGCAATTCAGAACCAGAATTCCCAGTGCATCCTTCCTTGTACGGAATACAAAAAATCATCATCGTGCAAGTTGAAGAGTCACAGGGCACCAGTGCAGTGTTACATGCAGATATATCCCTGTTTCTATATGTGCCTCTGGCCTATCAAAGGGTCTTGCTGACATCTGTCAGTAGATTGCAATAGGGTTTATAAGCAGAAATGTTCACACAATTATAATTTTTCTTTTTTCTGGGAGTGTCTCAAATTACACCACAGTGTCCTATGGAGTATACTTGTTCTTGGGGCATTGATGTACAATACAAATGGATTTAGGGTTGGGGATTTCTCATTTTTTTAAGCACGTTGAAAACTGCTTTCTCAGAGTTCAGCAGGCAGAAGTTAAAAAGAGTAAACCAGATTAACTGTTTCAAAATGCTTCATTGTATGTTTCACATTCAAACATCAATATATGCTATTTTGTCACTGAGCCCTACTCAAAGTATGGGATAGTTCTGCCCTAAAAATGAATTGCTACTGTGTAACGAAGGGGACCATTTTCTCTGAGGCCTGAATTACACAGCTGTGAGGTGGTGAGAGTGGGTGTATAGGGAGAGAAGGGGGAAAACCTTTCCTTGATCACAGAGCAAGGACCTGGCCTGGCAACTGCATTCTTTCTTCCATCACAGTGATCGGGTGCTTAATTAGTCCAACCCAGAGCCCTCTGGGGAATAATTCACCCCGAGTTTCTCATTGCCTGGCTCGATACCTGTTTGCAGAAATGCCAAGTGTTGTTGCTGCAAACGAAAGGCCTTGGGAGTGGTCCTCTGAGCCAAACATTCCGCTACAGCCTGTCTGGGAAAAATCAGGTCATTGGCATCAAGCAGAATACTAGTTGATTTATCTGTTATTGGCTCTTCATCTATAAATTACAGATTACAATGTGAATTACTTTATCTTTCTAACTCCTTACATCAAAGAACGCTGACATAAAATGATGTTTGTGAAGTACTATAGCAAGCACCGTTGAAGAAAGGACAGTGAGGAAATGTGTGCACTAAATATGGCCTAGGGATACATATTTAAGAATAGGAGGGGGAGACTGCTGGCTTTTAAATCAGCGAGCACTGTGCACTCTGTGCTTTAAAAGAGTCAGCGTCCAGCTTGAAGACTGCTTTTTAAAATTATTATTACTCTACATAGCAAAGCAACTACCTAAAGCATGGTTACAGAATTAAGACTCGATCGGGATTTGTGATGTTTTCTAGCTTTTGAGGGCTTCACTCTAGGGTTGCGCTGCCTGTAGAGCTCTCGGGTTCAAAGGAACGGACAGGAACGCTGTGCAGCGTTGCTGGGACGCTCCTTCAGGATGCCAGTCCCTCTGCTGCACATCGGCTGCCGTACGAGCTCAGGCAGCTCCGGCTTTCCCAGGGCACAAAACTCCACCTAAGACTGCTTAACTTCCCTGTCCCGTCCCGTTTCGTTTCGTTTCGTTTCCCGGCCGCTCCGTGCTGCCCCCTCAGGTCGCCGCCTCCTGAGCCGGGGAGCCTCGGGCCCTGCCGTCCCAGAGATACTAACCCCCGCGCTCTCGGAGCACCCCGTTTTAACGTTGCGCGGAAAACCCGATGCCGGTGCCGGCACCCTGGTGATGGGCGGGCCCTACCGGCAGGTGAGCGTGTCCAACCACCAGCCAATGGCGAGGCCGTCCCGAGCCCGTCCCTATGGCGAGAGCCAGTCAGGGTGAAGCGCGCAGCTCGTGTGCTACTTAACGGTCACCGGGACCCTGCCCCTTCCATGCACTCCCGGGAGCCGCGGCGCCCACGCTCGCCGCCGGCTCCTCTCGCTGCGCCTGCGCGGGGCGCCCGCCTCTCCCCTCCCACTGCCTCCACTACGGCTGCAGCTGGCGTCTGGCGCTGGGAGCTGCGGCCGTCCTGCCCCTCCCCTCCGCAGGTGATGCCGGTGCCTGGGGCGATGCCGCTGGCGAGGCAGCCGCTAGTGATGGAGAAGGAAGAGGCGATGGGGTCCGCTCGGGCCTCGTCGTACGTCCTCGCCATCGGCTCGCACCTGGGGGCCGCCCTCCCCGGACCCTGAACACTGGGGAAGCCCTGGCGGCCGGACCGATCTCTCGGCTTCCCTCACAAGCCGCCATCTCCCCTCTACGTCCTCGATGTCTCCCCCGCTGTACGGAGTCTTCTTCGCCGCCTCCCTGCTCTCTTGGTCGCCGCCGCAGCCCTCCCGGCCCGAGGTCCGGTGGCGAGAGGCGTCCGGCATCCGTGTCGTCAGGCCACCCGTCTCCCCGGGATAAGGAGCGGCGGAGGAGAGGCCGCTGGACCACCCGCCACGATGAAGGTGGAAGCGGGGGACAACTCCATGATCAACCTGTCTGTGCAGCAAGTGCTGAGTCTGTGGGCTCATGGCACCGTCCTCCGGCACCTCACCGGTAATGGGGTGCGGGGGTGCAGGGTGGGGCGAGGGGCCGGGGAGCGGAGAGGTGATGCTCCGTGAGGGGAGGGCGAGCCCCGCGGCACACAATGGAGGGCGTGGGACCAGTGTGCGGGATTGGCGGTGGTCTCCGTGTGTTAGGAGAAGGGTTGGGCGGTGGCTGTGTGCCTCGATTTGTGTGTGCATACATGCCTATTTGTGAGCATGTATATGGTGTGTGTTTTCTTGGAGGGGGTGGGTTTGGCGCTGGTATGTCCAGGGAGACGAGAGAGGTTTGTGTGTTACGTGTTAGGAGGATGGTGTGTGTGCCCGGTGCCTGTCTGCCTGCTAGAGTAAAGGGTTAAGGATGTCAGTGTGTTCACTCACTTTTGTGTGTATGTATATATCAAAAGGGTAATGACATAGGGTATGTGTATATGAGTGAGTTCATGGGTACCTGTGTGTGAATAAAGAGTTGTAGAAAGCACGTGTGAATGTATAAATGCGTATGGAAAGCTGGAGTATATTTGGGGGAGTGGTTTTGCTTGTCTGGCTGTTTGGGTTTTTTTGGTGGATATGTGCTAAGCATATATCCACCAAATGCTATTTGACAGAAAGCGATAAAAGAAACCCCACCCACAGAGAAATGAATGTGAGGATTGGGGACTTCCGCCTCCCACCCCGAGTATAGCCCTATACAACGGGAGCTGTGAGGGTTAATGAGGTGGGAGATGTTTCCTGACAAATGGGCACAATCTTAAACAACAGAGATTCTGAAAGACTGAGCTGTTCTGAAGAAATTCTATGCACCAAGAGTCAGGTCTTCATCCTCTGTTATTAGAAGGGGGGCTTTAGCAAGAACTTTCCCTGTTCAACCTCCTGCTTAAAAATGGGTGTGGACCACTGTGAGACGCAAGGCATATAGTGGAGAGGTGTATCTTCACTCTTCTGTCCAGAGGTGAAGAAAAACGTAAGCTTCCAGCTCTGAATAAGCAGGGATTTGGTGTCAATAGCAGAGATGTTACTGAGTGTATTCCTTCTGTCTGGTATAGGGGTATATTAGGTGGTGACAGATTAGTAGAAAATTTTGAGTAAGGGATATGTTTGAAATATTTGTGAACCTATTCTAATATTTACAAAAGTATCATGCCATCTTTCTTTTTTTCTCCTCTGTAGCAATGATTGATTATTTTTTCAATCTATTCAAGGTGGAAGTATGATAAAAATAGAGGGGGAGCTGAAGTTGAAGCTCTAGCAAAGCAACCATCTTAGGCTTTATCTTTCTTGTTCTTGTAAATTTCAGGACACTTTTTAATGAAGATATTACACAGATTTATTCTTTATCTAATCTATGAACTTTTTAAGATGTCTGCCTCCTGCTTTTGGAGTGGTGGCGCACTGATGCAACTCATTTTCTGGGTAGTTATTTTTGCATAATTCTCATAAAAATACATCTTGTACTCTTAAAGGAAAAAGTTCACAATGGATTTAACTTTTCTTTGTTCCAGACATCCTCTATAAAGATTCTTTTATTAGAGCATTATGCAACATAGGCATTTATGAAATTCAGTGCTGAGTGTTAGGCAAACAAAGCAGTTTGTTTCTCAGTGCTTCTGCAATATAAGGGGTTGCACAAGGTAATTTTGATGTAGAATATCTTTTTCTTGTTTAAAGAACATGAAAAATAATTACACATTGCAGTATCTCTGGAGAGTGTGTCAGTTGTAGTTACACTACAGTTTCTGAATTGGTGCTTAAATGCAGGTTGTCCTTACAGCCATGAACTGTTCTGCTGAATGTTCTTATGGACTGTCAACAGTTAATAGCTGTTACTGATTCTCTCTTGAGATTTTTAATATAATAATTTATATTAACAAATAGTTGTTGTTAAGCTTATATAAACTCTTTCTAAAATACTTACCAAAGTAAACTGTTCAGAAACAGAAATTCTGGTTTTCCATGCTAAGAAAATAGTTGTGTGAATGAGTTTGACTTGTTTGACTACTCAATTCATTCCCTTTTGCATCTCAGTACTGGGAAAAGGAATTAATAAATGTATAGTGTGCCATGAATATTCAATAATGCTTTGTGTTTGGTTTTGGCCTTCAAATTGTGGTCTGCATATAGCTTTTAAGCTACACAAGTGAAAATTTAGATAAGTAATGTTGATTATGTTACTGATAAAATTTTACAAACATGCAGAATCATTAAAAAATGCTTATTTCCCAAGACTTTCAATGGGAACCCAATATGAATTCCAACCTAAACCAGGAATTGCTTCAACCTTAATAGTTTAATTTTGGTGTTTTTCAAGGGGATGTTGAACCATTATTTTCATACCGTATAGCTGATTCAGGTTCAACATAGAAAAGAAATCCAATCTCTCAAAGCACAAAATACCCACAAGCAGTTTAATTCCTCCCTCATACACATCACAGCCTCTGACAGTTAAAGCTGCAAGCATTGTTCTTTTTGTAGCTGAACCCTGTGACACTAGCATGATATACTTTGCTCATATCTTCCTGCCTTCACTTGAGAGGTGCAGGTAAGGCTCTAGTAACTGTGTGGGAGGTGGCTTTTACCTTGTCCTATTTTACCTTTTCCAGCAAATCCCAGGAATAGCCCCTTCACATGAATTGGTTGTGCTTCAGAGCTGGAAGTAGATCAGAGTTTACTAGAGCAAGTCAGATAATCACTGGCTCTGAAACAAATAAAAATAATCTGAATTTGTGTGCCCATTATATAAATAGATATTACTTAAGGAAGTAGCCTTAATATATATAAATATATATTTATTATTCAATGAAGAACTTGGTAATATTTTTACTCTTCTTATAACTGATGTAGATATTTTGTTTATGTCTAGCAATTGCATGTTCCAAAGATGTAAACTTCTGGTCTGAGCAAGTTTTATATTAGCCACTGAGGGGGTGGGAGGACAGTGTTGTTTACTCTGTGCCACTGCTGTGCAAAGGAGTTCATGGAGAAAAAAGAAATCAACACAATCACTAAAAGCCAAATAAATAAACCTCCAGCAACAACAAAATAAAACCAACAACCTTGTTTTGTAGTGTATAACTTCTAAAGGCAGAGACACCTTTCTCCTCCTACCTCCACCCTGGAGTCCTAAGGTGATGAGCTCAAGACCACAAACTGTTTTTTATACACTTCAAAATAAAAAGGTCTATAGTTTTCAAGTGCTGGACAGTAATTAGTCTTGAATTTGTTGGAAGTGCATTTGTAAGGGATTATGGGTTTTGCACAGAAGATGCTCCTTACCTGTTTTGTATTGTGGGTTTTTTTGTTGTTGTTTTTGGTTTTGGTTTTTTTTTGTTTCTTAAGCTCCATCCTGTACTCATTTGTCACCACTTGTCCAGATTATGTCTTGGTTCCCTGTCCTTTAACTTGAGAGGATTAGTCTGTAACTTATAATTTAATTGCTCTTTAGCAAATGCTTCTCTTCGATTCAAGTGCAGCAAACATGTTAATGTCTCCAAACATCAACTTGACTGTATAGGCCTGTTAACTTGGAAAATACCAGTTAGCACAATAATTAAAGAAAGGTCCCAGTGATGAAGAAAATACTGTAGTATGTAAAAAGCTGAGTTACATCTGCAGGTGTAATATACTGTCACTTCATCTGAGTGCTTTGAGTTTCTAGGGCTACAGGAATACAACATTGTACAGATTCCTAGTTCAAATTTCAACATGTGTTGCCTTGTTTTATTGTTGCCTTAAATTTATATCTCTGTATTCACAGCATATTTATTGGTCCACTTAACTATACCCGGCCTACCACTATTAGCTACGTAGATTAGAATCTCAAGAGAGATACTATCTTCTGGAGTAATCAGTATTGATTTATGAAAGGCAATCATTATTCATTTGACAGAACAAGCTAAAGGAAAAGAAAGATATTGAAGATTAAGTACTAAGGATATACTCCATGTTTACTGAAGCTGAGTGGCAGTAGGACAGTGCATCCATTTATATAGATAATGTTTGAAAATATTAGCATTTATATACTTTGTGTATTGACTTTGCATTTTTATTTGCCCAAAGTGAAAGTGTTGATGGAGTGCAACTTAAAGTGTTGATAAGATGGAAGTGATAAGAATGCTATTTTAAACTGCAGCATGCTTTAAAGATTCTTTCTGGTCTTTAAGGTTGTGTATGTCTACATTAATATATGCATAATGTGTGTATGCATATGTAGTGGGTTGATGCTGGCTGGACAACAGGTGCCCACCAAAGCTGCTATCGCTCTCCCTCCTCAGCAGGACAGGGGAGAGAAAATATAACAAAAGGCCCATGGGTTGAGATAAAGACAGGGAGAGATTGCTCACCAATTACCATCATGGTCAAAACAGACTCCACTTGGAAAAAATTAGTGTAATTTATTGCCAATCAAATCAGAGTAGGATAATGAGAAAATAAATGCAAGTCTTGCAACACACAGCCTTTCCTTCTTCCCAGGCTTAACTTTACTCCTGATTTCTTCACTTCCTTCTCTACCCCCTGCAGCAGTGCAGGCGAATAGGGAATGGGGGTTGTGGTCATCACATGTTGTCTTCGCTGCCCCTTTCCCCTCAGTGGGGGAACAACTCACACTCTTCTGCTCCAGCATGGAGTCCCTCCTACAGGAGATAGTTCTTCACAAATTTCTCCAATGTGAATCTATCCCATGGGCTGCAGTTCTTTGTGAACTGCTCCAATCTGGGTCCCTTTCATGAGGTGCAGTCCTTCAGGAACAAGCTGCTCCAGTGTGGGTCCCCTGTGGGATTACCCGTCCTGCCAGTAAACCTGTTCCAGCGTGGGCTTTTCTCTCCATGGGGCCACAGGTCCTGCCAAGAGCCTGCTTCAGTGCAAGCTTCCCACAGGGTAACAATCACCTTTAGCCATCCCGGTGCTCCATGGACTGCAGGTGGATCTGTTCCACCATGGACCTCCATGGGCTGCAGGGGCACAGCCTGCCTTACCATGGTCTGTACCATGGGCTGCAGGGGAATCTGCTCTGGC